AGGCTCACCTCTTCCTGGGCACTAGGTGCGGCTCTACTCCTTGGCACTGGGGGCACTGGTGGCAGTGGTATGGTGGCCCCAAAGACTCCTCCTCAGTGCAGGAAGCATCAGAAATTTGTAGTTCAGTCGATAATCAGCCAATGCCAAGCCAGGGATGACAAACAGGCATGGTAGAGCAGAAACAACATGGCACACAAAGGCAACAAAGGTAACCTATTGCTGGTTTCTTAAGAAATGAAGTACCATAGGCCACAACTTATGATAATTAGGTGACTCTTTAAGCATATATTTTGTTCTACATGATAATGTATGGGAGTTAGTTGTAGGTCAGCCCCTTTTTGTGAAGTTTAAGATTCTAGAGATTAAGAGTCAATTAGGAGAGAGAACAAAGATGTACTTGTAATAATAAACTTTATAATAATCAGAAGTAACTTTGACAGAAAAATTACTATGTACTTAATTAGAGTAAATATGAGGGCAAATTATTTTATCCTAGAATCCCAATATTTAAGCCATAATCTGATACAAGTTGGCATGTTATGCAACACAGAGTGATTTAGGAACCCAGCAATATTCCTGCTGTATAGCAGGTCTGCCTTCCCTCAGGCTTGGAGCTCTCTCTTGAACCCTGTGAATTCACTAAGCAGATGGGAAAAGAGAAGGTGTAAGCATCATAAGGGAGATTCTAGGGGCAAGGTTTAGACTATCAAAATACATCAGTTGCATCCATATTTTATGACCAGAACTCAGTCACAGAGCCTGGTCTAGATTCCAGGAGCCTGGAAAAGACAGTCTGTAGATGACACATGAAGAAAAAGAAGCAGGTTTGTTTCATTTCTAGTATGTCTCTGCAACATGCACTAATCCATTTAACTCTCAAGACAATCTAGTAGAACAGGTATTATTTTTATTCCCGTTTTGTAGATGAGAAAACTGAGTCTCAGAGACTAAAGTAACTCCAAATGTCAAATATCTAGTAAATGATAGAATTTAGTGTTCTACACCAACTATACTATGCTTTTTCATAACTGAAGTTCAAGTATTTTGCTCTATTTCAGTTTATTGTCTTTACCACACAGATCCTCATAATGCTGATTTTGCCTTTCCTGGATCTCATCTGCTAATGATACTTAGCCATTTGGCACCAGAGTATGGGTTATCTTATCTATTTCTCATTGCACACCCATGTGGTAGGAATTATTATTAGCTCTACTTCATCAGAGAGGAAACTGATATTAATTATACAACTCGGCCATAATCAGACAGCAAATGACAGTCACATTTGAACACAATTAAATGCTATACTATATCTTGCTCTTTGGCTTGGACTTTGGAAGACCTTTCCTAAAAATTCTTTTAAATGCTAAAAAGATTAAATTCTTTAAAAATGCAACTTTCCCATGGAATATCCCAAAGTGTTTAGCATCTGCAAGGTCTGTGACCTCAAAATTGATATCTCCAAAATCATACAACTCTTTACTCTTTGGGCCTGATCCATATTCTAGGTGGGAAAATCATGAACATTCAGCAGCCTCTGGCCTTGTTAAGTGTAATTAGATTGGTGCATCAGTGTTAAGATGTTCTTCCTAGTCAAAATCATCCAGAAAATGAAGGGTCAGATAAACAACAATGCTGATGCAAGGTCAGAGGAAAACTCCAGACTCAATGAGAATAGTAACTCCAGGCCAGCAGCATTATTTATGGCTGGATCACTGGGTCCAGACAAGGAAGCAACAGCTACAAAGACTTTGTCTGCCAGGCCCTTTTCTTTTCTCACTCACATTCCTCCCCAGGATGATCTGGCCATCTTTGCTCCTCAGCATTACCTCATGAAGTTTGTTCAGGCATTCAAGTGCCATCAGACATTATATACTAATTCTTATGGGGAGAAAACAGGAAATGAATCAAATTAAAACTGCTGTACTTTAAAGAAGCAATTCATGATAATAGCAGCAATGCCATCTGAGGACTTGGGCAAATTGGGTAGAGAAGTAAAATAGATTTTTTAAAAAGTAGATTATGAGTCTTTGGGCCATTTGACTTAACAATATCTTTAGTTATAAAAGATGCCCTGGTCATCAAAACACACTAAAAAATACCAGAGCCTCCAGGATGCTAACTCCCTTTCCTATACCATTCCAGGCTGGATTTCTTTTTTTCAATCATAGCTTTAGATACTCCTTGGTAAGGAATTCTTTACCCCCATCATTTATGTTCTTAGACCAGTTCATGAAATTGACTGCTATCCTCTTTCTCACAAAATAAGACTGAGCTGGAAAATAATCCACTTTGAAAACTAAAGATCAAAAATGTCAACATTAGTCAGCCTATCCTTGCCTTACCTGCCATCACTATTCTCTTGCTTGGTGTCTACTCTGTAAGGCAGGTAAAGATTAGCATAGTTTTCATAGGACCCAGGACCCCCAAAATGTGAGCCTCCAGATATGGAGATTCTCTCTGCTTGACTACACTTGGGTGTACAACACCAGGTGTACAAAATCATTACAAATCTACTGTATCTTTCATTAAAAATAAATAAAACCATGCTGAGATGTTTTGGTCAAAGGCTCTCACATTACTCCTTGCTAGGTGGTTGAGAATCACGTAGTGTTCCTCTCTGTGTCTAAAGTGAACTATAGACCCCTCCCTCCTTCTCAGGCTCTTACAGGAACCTGGGGTTTGTAATTTCCCACTTCTCCCTATCGAACTGAGTTTATTTGCTATCTAACTGGTCTTTCTTTTGTCTTAATTTTCATAGCAATGAACTCACCTCCCACCCCCACCCCTGTGCCTTCCTCATACTCTGCCAAGATCTATGATCCCCAATTTTATTAACTCTCTATATCTATCCCTTCCTCAATTTAACCTTTCCTGATGGAGACAGAAAATCATTCTTAATGTACACCCTGAAAGTGTTCAGAATAAAAATAGGATCAGAGATGATTTCACCAGGTCTTGCATAAGGCAGCTACTGCCAGCCCCACTGCCCTCTTCCACCACTATTCTGCTTCCCCAGCATTGGCCTCTGTTCAATTCCTAAGAACACTAAGCTCTCATTTGCCTCATGGACTTCAACATGCTATCTCCTCTGACAAAATGTTACTCTAAACTCATGTTCTCCCTCCCATTCCTACTTCCTGGTAGGCCCTTCCTTATCCTTCAAGCCTCAGCTAATGCATTACTTCCTCTAGGTAACCTGTCCTCACCCTTCTAATTAGGTTAGGCACCTGTAATAAATGCTCTCAGATAACACTGTATATCCCCCTCATCATACATGTGATTACACAATTATTTTTAAAATTGTATCTGTCTATGTCCTAACTAGATTGTAAGCTGTGTGTGTGAATAACCAGCAGGGGTTGATGTTGTAGATAAGTGTTTTAAATACAGCTCTTAAGAACTATTAGCTGGTACTACTTTAACATGTAATTATTTGCATATATGTCAAAGTTCCCCAAAAAAGTTTAAATCCTATTTTGAATAAATCCTACAGTGAGGGACATATAATTTATATTTATTGAATAATGCACAGAGGGATGAATCTCAATAAAGCTCTCATAAAAGCTTGAGGGGAGAGATAGAAGTACTATCTTGCTAGTGAACTCTTGAGAACAGACATAAAATATTATAAATGTGGAAGTGTAAAGCTATCTATTATCTCTATGAATTCTGTGTTTTTGTTTCTCTTTTCCAAGAGGTGCTACATTAGTGCATTATATTCCTGGTTCCCAAAAGTTGTGTTAGTTTTCTATTGCTGTGTAAAAAAATCCCACAAGATTAGCAGCCTAAAACAACATGCACTTATTGTCTCACAGTTTTTATGAGCAAGAGGTGTAGGAACAACTTAGCTGAGTTCTGCTTAACATAACCCAGGCCTAGGCTCTCATCAGAGACTTGATTAGGACAGGATTGACTTCCAAGCTCACTCTTTCAGATTGTGACAGTACTTAATTCCTTGCAAAGGTAGGGCTCATAGTTGGTAGTTTACCATTTCAGAGTCAGTAGCTGAGAGAGTACAGTTTTTCTAGCAATCTGGGCACCATAGTCTTATGTAATCACATGTACCTGATGATGGACATCCCTTCATTTATGCCACATTCATTGATTAAAAGCACTCAAGGGGAGGGGCTTACACAAAGGCATGAATATCAGAAGTCATAGATCATGGTCCACTTTAGAATCCACCCATTACAACCTTTTAAGACAAGGGGATAAAATATATATATATATATATATATATATATATATATGCATTTGGTTATTATTCAGATACTGGTATATGTACCTAACTCCTATGGTAGATAGTGTACTTCTTGAGGGCATGGTTCAATTATTTCTAATTAATTAGTTAATTCATAATTAATCTCTTTCTAATTAATTCATCTCTTTCCCCAAACTGCCCAACACAGTGGAATATACAGAGAAAAAGCTCACTTGTTAATCAAATATTCTATATCCTGATGAGTTGTGTGAAACTGGATATTACGTTAAAACTTATCTTTACCATGATTTCCCCATTATCTTTAACATGATTTTAAAGCTTACTCTAGAACTTAGATTCTAAGAAGAGGTTTTGATAAGGCAATTAGGATTGCAAACAAAAGGGAGGAATGTTTTTTAACCTATTTTAAGAGAACAAAATGCTTTCAAGTGCTTTAGAGGTGTCTATTTTTACACAAATGGGATCATTAAAGTATCAGTAGAGCCAGCTGCCACCAGGCAAGTGCTTTGCTTGTTCTCATTACAAACCCTTCTTACCCACCAAACTCAGAAAGCCCCTTCTCTGGTGAACAGAGCTTCTCTTGAAGTTGGTAACTTCAAAGAGGCAACATGGTGTACTGAAAGCCCTCAGATCTCTTATCTGAAAAACGGTAAGTGAATCTGATGATACTCAGGAAGTCTAAAATAATAGTAGGAGCAGCTCTCACTCACTTGGCCTTTACTATAGTGGTTAATCTCTAAAAAAACCCAAAAAACAAAAAAAAATATTGCAGTTCTACCTGATGTATGGAGGAGCATCCGGACAGAGCTAGCAGTTCTGGGTTTAAGCATTCCTTTTCTCTGCCGTTTACTGGCTGTGTGACTTGGAGCAATTGACATGTTCTTTCTGACCTTCAGTTTCTGTCTAGATTTGTCCTTCCATCCTGACATCTGTGGTAAAAATCAAATGAGAATATGAAGTGATGGGTAAGTGAACTCTGTGAACTGTAAACAAATATACAAATATTAGTTCCATGTTATTAAATATCTCATGGATCCCATTGTTATTTAGAGAGCATAGGCCATTTCCCACAAGCAAGTACAAGTCCTGGGAATTTGGATAAATTGTGTTACACAATTACATAATCAAATACATATCTAATTACTGGATTCTTATGCAGGCAGTGTGAGGCAATCTGGCATGATAGCAGTGTGCCGTTAGAGACAGCTAGACTTGCATTTGAGTCACAATTGTATTATTTACTAAGACTGTGGGAAAAACACTCTCCTTGCCTCAGTTTCCTAACTTGAAAAACAGTATTAAATATGAAAAAAACTTATATTATGGACTGAATGTTTGTGTTCCCTCAAAATCTTTAATCCCTAATGCTCAGTATGATGGCATTTGGACTTGGAGCCTTTGAGAGGTAGTTAAGATTAGAGATCATGAGAGTGGGTCCTCATGATAGGGTTAATACCTTGTAAGAAGAGATACTAGACACCACCCTCCAGTGTGTCTTGTGAGAACATAGCCAGCAGCAGAGATTATGTGTAGGCTGAAAACAGAGCCTTCACCAGAACCCTACCATGCTCGTACTCTGATCTTGGATTTCCAGCCTCCAGAACTGTGAGAAAATAAATTCCTCTTGTTTAAGCCATCCAGTATATGGTATTGTATATGGAAGCCTGAGCAGATTAACAGAACCTCATGGAGTAGAAAACAACCAGAAAGAAAGAAATTGGTACTGAAATCAGAGAGATTTTAAGCCAAGAAATTAGTTATACAAGTTCTAGCAGTGCTATAAAGCCAGGAGGATGGTGAAGAAAGGCAGAGATTAATAGCAGTGAGAAGCCTTTTCTACCCCAAGACAAAAGGATAAAGGGAGAAAGTAGGGTTACAAGAGCTAAGTGGCCAGGTCACCCATCAGGCTGGAACCATATCAGGCTGCCTAGAGGGAGGAGGAGCATTAAAGAGGTGCAGCTGCTGCTGTGAGTGGAGAGAAAAAGAGTGCAATGCCCTTGCTTCTCCTTTCTTCTGCCTTTGAACTCATCCAAGTGCCTCTCATAGTAAGCCACCAGCCATGTCCAGGTAATACTGACCCTTGGAACCCATAGACACCTAGTTATGACCCTCTGTGTATGGAGCAGAACAGGGAAGTGAGGAATGGGTTATATACAAGCAACCAAGGATGAGCACATCCACCTTCCTGTTTTGATATTAACTGATGATTGTATGACAGATTCTGATTATTTCATTTAATATTTCATACAAAATAACACAATGCTGAATTACAACATGGTAGTGGTAGATCTATAAGACATCCTGAGTGTCTTCAGATACCTCTCACCCAGGAAATCTCATTTAGTTCCAAATGATTATGTTCATCTCTGTTTTTCCTTCTCTCTCCTGGGAGGTCTTGCCCATGAAAACTGATGGGTACCAAGTCATTGGGTTCAGAATTTGGCCCTCCATAATCTAGCGCCAGCCTAGCTTTTGAGGAGGAATATCTTGCTGTCTTTACCATGAGCCCTATCCTGCAATAACAAGAGCTACTACTGGTTCCCAGAGGGCCCACTCTTTCATACTTTCCAAAGATTTTCCTACTGTCCTTGCTGAGAACATCTTTTATTTAAGACCAGCTCATTGTCACCTTCTTCATGAAGCTTAGAATCTAATACAGTGGTTAAACTAAGCACTTCCTTCTCCAACCTCCTAATATTCCCTTGACTTGCTTCAAAGATCATTGCTGAGATTATCTAGTTGCATATTGAAATACAGGTAGCATCCTCTTTCCCTTCTAAATGATGAGCTTCTGGTGGACAGCTCAGGAACATGGCATCTGGGAGTTGAATCCTGGAGAAAGGGCTCTACCTAGTGTGGCACAAGGATGTATATAGCCTGCAAGACCCAAGTCCCAACCTGATCTCTGCCATGTCCTAACTGGGAATTTAGACAACCAAATTTATCTTTGAGCCTTGGTTTTTTTCTGGCTAACATTGGGGTAACAAGTTCAAAGCATCTTTCAGGTTCATGCCAAGGAGTGGTGGTAATAGGAGGTTGTTATCAAAGGCTGATCCTCCATTTCTTTCTCTCTTACAGCTAACCTTAGGCTACTGGGGACCAAGAATCATGCCCAGGCCTGTGCAGGGGAAAGTGGATACAGAAATAAATATTTTATGTTTTGTCAGCCACATTCAGTCTTGGTCACATATTCTTCCTTTTTTTGTTTTGTTTTACAACCCTTTAAAAATGTAAAATCCACTGGGTAATCCAAAACCAGGTCATTGGCCCAGATGTAGCCCACTGTCTGCAGTGTCGATCTCTGATATTATATAATACATGCAGAGGATGCAAGGACTTACTCGACCTTAGCCTGTTACTGTTCCTTTTCTCCTTTTTTTCCTTTCCTTTCATTTTATCCATTTTCTTTCAGTGTGGGAGTGAAGAACTCAAATCTGAAATCAGACAGGCCTGGCTATCAGTGTTGGCCTCATTGCCAAATAAACAGTTTGGCAATTGTAGGCAAGTTTCTAAATGTCATTTTGCTTCTGTTACCACACTTTTAACAGGACTCAAAAGAAATCAGACACACAAACTTAAATATCACATGATTTCGCTTATATGAGAAACACAAAGCATAAAAAATTAAAGAGCAAAATAATCATGCCTATAATCCTACTACTTGGGAGGCTGAGATAGGAGGATCACCATGAGTTTGAGGCCAGCCCAAAATACATAGTGAATTCAAGGTCAGCCTGAACCAGATACTGAGACCCTGTCTCAATCCCCCCATATATATATATATATATATATATATATACACACACACACACACACACACACACACACAGGGTGATAGATCTTTTATAAATAGGAAAGGAACCAAAAGATTGAGGGAGAGGGGAGGGGGATATAAAAAGAATTAAGATGTGTCAGCACATGTACCAACTACCCACAATGAATGTATTCATTATGTACTGCAAGCATGTATTAATTAAAAAAAAGAAAACCTGCTAAGACCTGGGGACATTAGACAGAGAGAGGATGATCCTGTAACAAATGCTGGAGATAACTCCAAAGGCTTCTCTGAGCTGAATTGTAAAATTCTTGGGAAATTTCCAAGCCAGCTCTAAAACTATAGGTCACCCAAAGTCAGCCACAGTGAGCAAACTTACATCACCGAAACTGGCAAGCATACAGCTTAGCCTTCCTCCTACTCCCGAGTCAGTCGTTAAAACTTTACAGTCTACCAACTTACTCAGAGAGGTTTTTCCTCACTCCACTTGCCTCCTTGCATCTTTATTTCCAGTTTTTCCCTGCAAGGAATAAAAGATATACCAGGGAGAATCTTGAGAGAGGAAAGCATTCAAACCTCCCAGGAAACTCTCAACAGAAAGATCTGCCGGTGTCGCACATCCCTTTCACCACTGTCAGGCTCTAGTTTGCTACCTGCTCTGTTAACACCAGTTATGTGGGAAAGCATTTGCTTTTTCTGTGGTGGAATTAAAGCTTTCCTATAAGCACCAACAGAAGAAAAGGTGGGTTGCTCTATGATTTTTCAAAATGCTAAATGCAGTGAGAGTAAGAGTCAGTGCAGTTTCTGCTGATGCATTGGAAGTTGACAGATTATGTTAATGAACCCAGGAGGAAAAGAGAATTAGTGCAGGGGAAAGATTAAGCTAAACTGTATAGGAGTTTTTGAACTAAAAAGTCTTTTGAGGTATACAGAGTTCACCAAAAAAATGTATACACATTTTAGAAAAAGAAAAATTTATATAAATATTTTAATACTAAATTTATTGAGATATCACAAGATTAACACAAGTTACCTTTGCCCTCTACAATTACAAGAGGTGTTCATATTGGTGGCCATTCACTTCCAGACACTTATTAGTACAGCAAACTGCTGCTTGAGTAACCTTGGTCATTGAGATTCCTGCACATGCATTTTCAATTTCTTCTCTAAGGACTGGCAGTGTAGTGGGTTTTCTGTGATACATGACATCTTCTAAGATCCCCCTTGCAAGGGTAACACAATCTGTTGAAAAAAACACCATAATATTTTTTTCCTGAGGTGTAATATAATTTTTTTGGCAAACTCTATTCTTCTTCCTATGAGTAGAGCATTAAAGTTTAATTATATGGTGCCATATAATAGTCTTCTTCTTCTTTTTTTTTTTTTTTTTTTTTGGTACCAGAGATCAAACTCAAGTCCTTGTACTTTCGGGACAGGCAGCAGAAACACTGAGCTAAATCCCCGGCCCTGTCTTCTTTTTCTTGACTTATCATGAGTTCACTATTTGACCCAGAAGATGAGGATGCAAGATTTAAATTCATTTCACAAAATCCTTTGTTTTGTTTTGTTTTGCCTCTGTTTTTGCTTTCCTTAACAGACTATCCTCTATCAGCTGGGAATTGTGCTTGGCTTCAAGCCACAGAGACCAGAAAGGACAGTGGTTTTAAAGAATTAAAACCCTTTTTCACTGTCATGAGAAGTCTAGAGTTAAGTAGTCTAGAACTATCATGACATTGGTTTCTATTCTTATTTCCTCTAATCATAGTACAGGGCATGCACCCTCAGTGTTCCTTCATGGCTCAAGAATCTATCAGAGCTTTATTTTCCAGTTTGACATTCTAGGCAGAAAGGTGAAGAAGGATAAAGAACATCTGTCTATATTTCTTCAGAGATTTTTCTAGCATTTCCATTCAGCAATTTCGTCTTAATCTTACTCCCAACCACAAGGGAAGTTTGAAAACAGCTTGAAACTGAACATCACCACCCCAAATAAGGTCAGAGATCAGTCAGTGTACAGAAAAGGAGGGAGTTATTGAGTGGATGAGCAGCAGTGTGCATCTGCCACAGGTGTTCTTTGCTCAGATGTCTGTGTAAGAAAGCAAGAGAATGAGAGCATTTGTGTGTGTGTGTGTGTGTGTGTGTGTGTGTGTGTTTGGAATGTATGTGTCAGAATAAAAAGAGAGAATAAGGTATTCTGTAATTTCAGAAATGTGCAGTCTGATCAACAAAACATGCAAATAAACACACATTTACACATGCACAGCAGCTGATAAGAGGTGGAGAAAATACATGAATTAAAGAAGTATAATGAAGAACTTTGGAAATACTATAGATTCACGCTGCCAGTGTTCCACAGTTCATTAGTGGTATACTCTCTGCCCTGTTCCTCCTTGTTGGACCTAGAGTTTGTGAGTATATTTTTGTGTGTATATGTTTGTGAATGTCCTCTCCCTCTCTCTCTCTCTCTCTCTCTCTCTCTCTCTCTCTCTCTCTCTCTCAAAGATGGAAGTGGACAGAAAGTAAAATGGAGAAACCTTTTCTCCAATTTCTTCTCTTTTCCTTCAGGCTGTTTTACTGAATTAAGAAAAAAAGTATTTCAGAGCCATTATGCATGTGTGAATGTATAAATATGTTATCCTTTATGTCCCTTTTTAAAAGCAAGGGTTTTAGGTCTACAGAAAGACACATGAAAAAATATTTTTTAAAAAATCAAGAAATACTGAAAAGAAAATCACTGGGGATAGGGGGTCAATATAAAAAGTGGCTAGGGGCTTAGATTCCAGGATTTTTCTCCAACCTGGTTACCTTTCCTTATTAGCTACAGATGACATTTCTGTGCATTAATTAATCCACCTGTATAATGGAGATTATAATAACACCTACATTAGCTACATTAAGTGAGTTTATGTAAACAAAACTTAGAACAGTGCTTGGCACGTAATGAGAGATACATAGGTGCTTGTTGTCACTTATAGGAAAATAAGTTGAAGTCAAGATAAGAACAGAACTCAGAAATTATACTATTAAGTCTTGTTATAAAACCCTCATTATCACTATAGTTCTGTGATTAAATTCCTCTGTTTCATTTATCTCCCTATATGACTTAAAAACCACAGAGGGTGATCACAAGTGTTAAGTAAGACAGTTTTGCACAGTGTCTGGCACAGGGGAGATGTTATTACATATTTCTTCTCTTCCCTTTTCAACATTCCAACCCCATAGGTACAGGACCAGTGCTATCTTTTACCCTAAATATCACAGATGACTGACTCTCATTTCCATTATAGATTAGGAAACTTCAGGTACAGCTTTTGTCAGATTAATCTTGTATTTCCACATCAAGCTCTACATCCTCAACACCTAACAGGGGCTAGATTTTAACTGAGTGAGTGTACATTTGATAAAGGTAAATGAAGCTAAGTTGGAGAAACAATGGATCTAGTTAAGAGCAGAAGTGGTCTCTGCTCTTGTAAAGCGTACAGTCAAGCACTCAGAGACATATTTATAGATTGCTATCAGCAACTGTAGAATTACAGCTGTGACAAGTGAGTGCTTCAAAGGGGGAGGAACATAGTGACATGAGATCTAGATTATGAAGGACTTTGAATTCTGGGCTCTATGTCTATCCATTCAACAGCTCCCACCTCATTTTCAAGGTTTTCAGAAGCAAGCAAATGTAATTTACCAAGGCTCTTTGGTAATACACAAAAGCCTAGGAAAATGAGACCCACCACCACCTCTGAAAAGAAAGGAAAAGTATTCTACATACAGGGTCACTGGCTGAGTAAACCCTTCTCCTGGATACAGGCTCAGAATGAAGTCACATGGGAATACTCAGGGTCTGATAATAGGAGAAATACTCAAGAATCCAATGGTAAGGGCACCTGTGCCTCTAAAGGCAGATGGGCATTTTTCCAAGCAACTGAATATTTTCTTACATGTTTTTGGAGGCAAGCAGAAAAGTAGCAATGGCAAGAAGTCATGCAAATTTTCCTAACCATGCCTTTGCTAGGTAGATTGTCTGACTCCAAGACACCTGCACTGAAATTATTTCAGGCTGTTGCTGACTGAAAATAGAATTCTAGAGACAGTCTCCAATCCCATGATTTAAAACCCTAAAGAGGCCTAGGAAAATTATGTTAAACAGCACAAATGGTTTAGAAATCTAGGATGGTCTGGTGGGGAGAGTTACTTACGTGGCCTCAGATGCACAGAAAGCTGGAGGTTCCCAGGCCAACCATAATCCCTCAGGCTCACATCCCCTGGCATTTGTGCACATCCATGCTTCTGATATTCTCACCCTGCACAGGACTCTTGAACTCATGCTATAGTATCAGAAAATGCCCCTGTATTCTTCAACTTCTTCTATAAATTTCCCTTTCCATTATGGATGTGTCATACAACTCAGAAAGGTACTGTCAGATTATCTTCTATGGAAATGGTACCCTCTACTCTGGATGATGCCATCAACACTGCCTCCATCTGTGGATCTATTGTATCCTGACTCTTGGGAGTAGAGGCTATATTTTTAGTTTTTTACCTAATTCTTGCTTTTGACTTTTACTTCAATACCATATTCTTCCTGCCTTCAGAATCCCCAGGTCCTTTAAGCACCTATTCCTTATTTCTGTTAATTACCAGCTTCTGAGAGCTCCTTTCTTCAGTGATGACTTTAGCACCAAACAATCTTCCATTCCACTGCTAATCTCATCATCATTGCAGAAAACTTCAAGATCCATGTAGAGAATCCATCCATCATCTGGACCACCCCTTCTTAACTTTCTCACTTCCAATGATCTATATTCCTTCATTCTACCTCATTTGTTGAGTTCCATAATCATAAACTCTGTGATCTTCTCAATTTCAAGTTCCCTATTTTCTAATCACCATTGTTGAGACTTCTAACTCACTTCCTCTAAGTACTTTTACTATAAAAATTCTTTAACTTCATTAGGATGACCAATCCATTGGTGCTACAATCAATGAATTTGTCTATGTCTTTCATTCTTATCCAGAGATGAGTTCATGGTCCATTACTATAATCATTCCTTTAAAAAGTACTGTTAAGGGCCGGGGATTTAGCTCAGTGGTTCCCCTGGCTGCCTTGCAAGCATAAGGACCCAAGTTCGATCCCCGGTACAAAAAAAAAGTACTGTTAAATTGCCAGCCCCCTTCTTTCTGTAAAAGCAACTAGGCTAAGGATAGCCTGGTAAAACCCTGCTATCACCTATTCTGATCTTGGAATCCTAACAGCTGAATGTTTCTGTTAAACACAAACACACACACACACACACACACACGACCATGAATTTCACATGGGCACTAAAGTAGACAATGTACAATTTTTCACAGCTGTTTCTTTTTTCCTGCTCCTCAAATTTCATGCACCTGTGGCCTTCTACCCTTGACCTTGTATTATATTTCACTAAGAAAATTGAAGCAGACATTAAACAAAGAACTCCCTCTTCTTTCCATCTCCTAGCTCTTAACCTGCCTGCATCAGAGATGCTATTTCCCCTAATATTAGTTTGAACAAAGGCTCCCAGCTCCTAGCAAAGGTAATACCTCTGTTTTACCACTGGACCTCAACCTCTCCACTCCTCCTCCTATCTGTTCCTCTAATTATCCCTTCTCTCTTCTCCATTATGGAGCTTTTCCTCTCTATAATTTCATCTCAGTCATCATAATTGCATATTCAGAAAATATCAATCTCATGTTCCCTCTTTTGCCTAGCATTCTTTGTGAAATAGGTGACTGTAGTCACTGCTTCTCATACTGCCCCCCATTGTCTCCTCTATTTATTGCACTAGGGTGAATCCTTACCACACTACTAAGCCTGCCTTTATTGAGATCAGCAATGACCTCCATGTTGTTGGATCCACAGATTACTTGTCTATTTTTATCTGACTTCTTCATATCAGAAATGTTTAACATAGTTGGCCACTATTTTCTTGAAACATTTAATTCTCTTGGCTTTTCCAGTCTCAAAGGATACTCTTCTCCTGGATTATTCTACTGTTCTTAATTTCTGAATATTTTTGAGTACTTTTGAGTACTTCCTGGGTTTTGTTCTCTTCTCTGTCCTTATACTTTCCAATGTGATAACACTAGCTACGTATAGTATTTTGTTCTTGAAATGCAGTTACTACAGATTGAGATGTACACACATACACACACATCAGATTTCAAAGCCTTAGTTTAAAAAATTGTTAATAAATGATTTTATATTGATTGCATGTTAAAATTATTACAGTATGAATATTTGACTTAAATATATTATTAAAATTAATTCCCTGTTTAGTTTTACTTTCTTAATGTGGCTATCTTTTCTTAGAGTAACTATCAGAGAATTTAAAATTGCAGGTTGACAGCATTATATTACTATAGGACAGCTAGCCTTGAACTCACTAGTTCTACAGCTCTAAATATGCTAAATGTCATCATAGGCAGATAAATACCCCTTAACTTTGATAAGCCCAGGTCTGGTCTTTCCTCAGAACTCCACATTGCTATATTCCATTGTCTATTCATTAGCTCCATATGGATATTTAAAAAGCATCTGAAAATTATCAAGGCCAAAACAGAACCATTCCCTATCTATTTCCCCAAATGGCGCTTCCTTTGACTTTTTTTTTTATCAAAGTAAATAGTGCTATTATAGTTCTAGCTAAAAATATAGGTGGTATCCTTGATTCTTTCCATTTATTTTCTTCCTTTCTCAAGACCACCAGCAAATCTTATTGATTCTACCTCCCAAATGCATCCTAAATCCATCCATCTTTCTCCTTCTTCACTACAACTAATCTGATACAAACCTCTCCCATCTCTCCCAGCTAAGCTTGCGACTCAGTACTTCACTTCTACTTTTGCACTTTTCTATTCTGCAAACATTAGCATGAGTGGTATTTTGTAAACATAAATCATATCACATGTCTCCTTGTTTAAAGCTCTCCAGAGGCTTTTGATTCCATTCAAAAACTTACATCAAGTTATTCACCCTACTTCCTGAACCCTGGGTGATCTGGACCCTGCCTGCCTTTCTGACTTCAGTTAATTCCTTCCTCCCCCTCCCCCATCAAATTTCAGTTACTTGACCTTTCAGCTCCTTTAACTGGCCAAGTTTGCTCCTTCCTGAAGACCTTTGCACTGGCTGGTTCCTCTCCCAAGACTGAACCTCTCATATCCACCCCCATATTTGCATGACTGGTTCCTCTTATTCACAACTTAAATCCCAGTTCCTTAAAGAAGTCTTTTTTAACCATTCAAAGTAAAATCCCTGCTGTATTGCCACCCTAGTTCTCTAAATAGCACTTACTACTCTCTGATATTTTTCCTTAAATTCTCTTTTTTCTATATTGTCTTTGTCTTCTTTTTATAAGCATCAGAAGAGTAAGGAATGATTTTGTGGTGTTCATCCTTATGTGACCATTACCTAAAACTGTGACTGGACTTTAATAGGTTCTACTGAATGTGCACCCACTGAATGAATCTAGTGAATATCTGGTGTTGTGTGAAGAGGCTATAGTTGAAGCCCCATTAGAAACTTCAATCTCAAACTCTCCTCAGAAATCCTATTTCTTCTCAACAATTTTACACTTTCTCCTAAAAGCAGAGATCTTGTCTTTTCTTATTTCATATAATAACATGTATTGTGCTGCTAAACTTACAGCTGGTGCTCAGCACATTATGTGTTAATTGTGCTGCCAGAAATAATTTTAAATGATGAAAAGTGGTGCTTTACACTTGGCCCGTTTGGAATAATATACCTGAAAAATTTCTTTAATGGTTACATAGCCTGGAAACATTTTGTCTAAGAAGTAGACAAAAAGAACCCTGAAAATACAAAATAGATGTTACAAATTTAATATGCTAAAACACATGCAAAGTCCAAAGAGCAAAGCTCTTTACTCAAAACCATCTGATTTTTCTTTCATGGAAAGTGTAAGAAGTTTAATTGACTTACAGTTCTGTCCAGTACTACATTTCCATTAATTCAGTGAGTATTTATTGAGTTGCTTCATGTAGTAGCCATTGAATAGAAATCCAGTGATGAAAAAATAATGATCTTTGCCTTCAAAATGGTTGTAATGTAATAAAGAAAGAAGATCTAAGTAATTTGAAGCATGTAGACTAATATGTAATTATAAAGTAACATAAATGCCATGATAGAAACGAACAAGGCAGGAATTATTAATCTTTGTTTTCTTCCTCATATATTTTGTTATAAAAATATGTTTATTGTGAGAAGAAAAAGTGCATAAGAAAAAATTTATAATCCCTTCAACATTTGTCTTTCAGAGTAAATTCAGAACCCAAGATAGAAATGATAAGAAATGATAGATAGCATGCTAGTGATACAGAGGAACTTATAAAATCACATATAGAAAGTAACACAAAACAAATGCCTCAGGTTACTTTTATCAATTGCTCCTATTATATCCACTAGGTTGTATAGACAATACAACACTGGAAACAAGCCATATTTGAAGTTTATGACAAGGACCCTGATGCATCTCAAAAAAAGACATATATATATGGAAATTTAGACTATGTGTGAAAAAGAAGTACTATATTTTAGAAAGATAACTCATTTAAAGTTTTTAAATTATGTTTTTTATGTTTCCTCTAAGAAAACTGATCATCTTAAGGCATTAAAGGTATTTTACTAGAAACCTTATATTTATGATCTGCCTCAAATCAATTTTTGTGACTAGAGTGAGGTAGTTAAATTTAACTCATTATATCAGTGAGACTTTTTAAGCCCATACTTTCTCGTAGATTCTACTGTTTCATTACTTCTGAATTGTTAAAAACTTGGTGCGTCATTTAAGTCTTGCTTGGCCTGCGTCACACAGTCCATCATTATTACTGCACGGTATAGTTTTGTTGGCATTAAAAAAGCATTTATTCTCTTTATTAACATTTTATTGTAATTTAATAGAACCCACCTAGTGTTTATATCTCCTATTTAATGAGAGATAAAGTCATAATTCTTATCTATTCTCCTGAGGACATTTAGTTAATTTATTTTATTTGAGCATGGTGTTGAATCAAGTCCTATTTGGTCATGGTATGTAGCCACTGGGAGTATTTACTTATTCTATCTCCTCTCTGCTTGATTATTAGAAGTGAATGCCCATACCAAGAAGTTGCTCCTGTTCTTGATATAGTTAAGGAACAAATAGCACCCATATAATTAACAGGATAGAATATATATGTATATTTGTATATATATTCAACTCATATATAAACAAGCACATGTATGTACTGTATATATATTTGTAAGTTCCCCCTTTCAATACCAATACTGATTAATTTAAAAATATTCTAATGTAGTTTGGTAAATATAGATTACAACTGGAATCTAAAAAGCCTATGATATCACTTGCTAATTGAATGTGATCTTTTCTATGCTTAGAGTTCCTTATCTGTAAATATAGAATATAAAATAGACCTTCCTTCCTAAGATAGTATAAGGAAGAGAACTAATTGTTCTAAATCTAAAAACAAAAAGCCAACATGAAATTCCTTTTTGTTAAACTCCATAAATGGGTCAATGGCTACCATGAAAAGCCCTCAAAGATAGTGAGCCTAAACACTAAGGTTTCAGTGAATAGAAATCATGAGATGTTCTTAAGAGTGAAAAAGATTTGTGTACTTTTGTTCATGCTTCTGGGATGGACTACCTAAGAGTTCTTTCTGTCTATTCTCTCACTTGTTTTCAACATAGCTGAGCCCAGAACCTAGGACAATGAAGTCAGCCCCAGAAAATGGCTATAGCACAGAACTCAGAATCCTGCAACATCTTCCCACTTCACTGAGAACGAAAACCAGAGCCTTTACAGGGTCTCCCATGCCCTATCATGTTCTGGCCTTTTGTTGCTCTCTGACCACAGTTCTCTTTCACTCCTACTGGAGTCCGGCCACTTCCACCTCTTTGGTGTTCCTGAAGTGCTCCAGACATGCTCCCAGTGCAGGTCCTTGGCACTGCTGTTCATCCTTTCTGAATGCTTTCCTCCAGATACTCACAGGCTTCCAGTCTTTGTACAAATATTGTAATAAACCCACATTAGCCAGCCTATTGAAAACTGCAACAAGTCTCTGACTTCTCTGGACTCCAAATCTCCTTCACTTGGCTGGAGTAGATGCTGTTCATATCCTGCCTATTACCCCTCAGCCCATTGTTGTATCTCACCTGCAGCCATGATGGCCATTACTCCAGGAGCTAATGGCTTTCTGCATTAAGAAGCCACATTTCTATTTTACTTCCTGAGGTTTTTCTCCAGAACTAAAACAAGTTGAGCCTGCTGGGGGCAGCCCTGAAGGGCAGAGGATTTAATGCCCTCAGGGAATACTCCTCAGCTAATAAGGGACAGAATTAATGGATAAATAACTCAGATTTCCCAGCCCTGGGGTGAACAATGGTAAGAGCATTTTGCATGATATGTTAGTGGGTCTCCAGCAGGATTGAGTTCTCTGCTCAGTATAACAGTAAACTTTTTATTACATAATAGTTCATTGGCTTCACTCCCTTCCCTGTCTCTATTTTCCTTTTCCCTCAGTATGGTTTCTGGGATTATTTTCTAAAAAGCTAATTGCACAAAGCTCTTGTCTGAGTGTCTTCTTTTGTTGAACCCAAACTGAGACACTACTTTTCATTTTTTTTCCATAGTGGTTTTCATCCTCTGACATAATACCAATTTTACATACTTTCTTCTTCTTTGTCTATTTCTCCCCTCCAATGTGTAACCCCCATTGTGATATTGAGACATAATGAGAAGTACTTATATTGGGTCTTCACACTGAGTTTCAGACCCAAGAGCCTCTAAGTCATTCACATCTCTGGAATCATAAGAGTGTCTTTTTGCTAATGAGATGGCAAATAGCATGGAAGTCTCTAGACAGCTTCAGAGTGAGAGCTGGTTGGCAAAGAGATGAAAGACATGTTTAGGAGTTCTGAACTTTCAGCCCCAGGAAAGGAAGAAAATCTGGAGGTTGAGTTGATCATCAATGGCCAATAATTCAATCAGTCATTCCTATATAATTAAAATACTATTAAAATACTAAATGATGGATTTAGGGGACTTTTCAGGTTGGTGATTGCATCCATGTGCCAGGAGGATTATCTTAGTCACTTTCTTATTTCTGGGACACAATATCTGAAACCCACAACTTAAAGGAAGAGATGTTTATTTTGGGCTACAGTTTTAGAGGTCTCAGTTGTTACATGAACAGCTGGCTCCAAGGCCAAAATGGCACAGTGGAAGAGCCTGGTGGAAGAAAGCTGCTCCCATCATGGTGGCCAGGAAGCAGAGAGAGAAGAGATGACCCAATCACCTTCCAAAAAGCCCTGCATCTGAGCACATGAGATTTTTGGAGGTCATTCTTGATCTAAACCATAACAAGGATGATATATTCCAGCTCCACAGCACAGAAGTTCCCATGCTCAGGACCCTCCCAGACTTCACTAAATGCACCTGTTCATCTGGCTGTTCTCGTTTATGATGATCCTTTGTAATTATCCTTTATAACAATCCTTTGTAATAAGCCATCTGTATTTTTTATTACAATCCCTCATAATAAACTAGTAAAATAAAGTATTTCCCTGAGTTCTGTGAGCCTTTATACTAAATTGTTGTACTTGAGGAAAGGGTTGTGGGAAGCCCCACTTTGTAGCCAAGTCATCAGAAGGGAGGTAACTTTGGCACCTATTACTTGTGATTGGCATCTGAAAGGGGGGTGTGCTTTGTAAAACTGAGGCCTTACCCTGTAAGGTCTATACTAACTCTATGCAGTTAGTGCCAGGATTGAATTATAGACTTTGTGGAGATGGGAAATATATCTGGGGATGGGGAGAGATGGGAGGGAGGAGAAAAGAGGAGGTAAGAAGTATCAAGATATGAAATATATATATATATATATATACACAAATTCTCCACAATGAATGCATTTATTATGCATTGCAAACATACAGTATACTAATAGAAAAATTTTTAAACAATTGAATTTTATTATATGATGCCCAGTCTGCGGAGAGTTGCTTGGTGAGA